AAAAAAAAAAAAAAAAAACCACAAAAATTAACCCGGTGTGGGTACACACACACACACACACACACACACCACCACCACTTCCTCCCCGCCACACACACCCCCCCCGCCAAGATGGTGGGCCCCGAGGTGTTCTTAGTCCCACCCTCTTTCCCGCCCCGCGACCCGGAAGCGGTTCTTGGGGAGGCGGGCATGTCTGAGAGGGTGGGGCTTTCGACGCACACGCCCCGGGCTTCAGCGCTGGTTTCCTAACTCAGCTGGTTGCGGCATCTGTGGGAAAAGTGTGGGTGGGTCTAGGGGGAGCCGCGCCAATGGCCTCCGTGCTGTCCTACGAAAGCCTGGTCCACGCCGTGGCCGGAGCCGTGGTGAGACGGGGTCTTCACGCCCGGGCCGCAGCTGGGTGTGAGGCTTCTCTGGGGCCAGTCCCGGGATCTGCCTGGGGGATGGGTCTGAGAGGGAGGTAGTGTGGGTTGGGTCCTCCGTTATGACTGTGGGGCCGGGAAGAATGGGCCATAGGCGGAAAGTTGTTGGAAGAATTCGGGGTGAGGGCCGAGACTTCGCCACCTCCTGGTTTCCTAGAGACTGGGGTGGAGAGCCGTGGTCACACATGTGCACTCCGGGTCCGCGTCTTTGCTTTTGAGAAGTTTAAGGTCAGTCTACCTTCCCCACACACTCAGGCACTTTGCCTCACTGGCCTGGAGGAGAACGTAGGTGTGAAGGCGGGTTGCTTAATCACAGGCTCTCCTACAGCCTGTCCGGAGTTCAAGAGATTCTCCAGCCTCAGCCTCCAGAGTATCTGGGACTACAGCGACCCTCATGCCCAGTTAATTTTTTGTGTTTTTAGTAGAGACGTGTTTCACCATATTAGCCAGGATGGTCTCGATCTCATGACCTTGTGATGGCCCGTCTCAGCCTCGCAAAGGGCTGTGATTATAGGCGTGAGCCACCGGGCCCGGCCTTTTTTCTTCCTTTCTAAATCAAGATCTGGGTTCCCGTCTACTACAAGTGTGGTTTGCTATGAGCTGTATGCTTGATTCTTGGGCTTCTGGTGTCTAGGTTCCACTTCCCCCCTCCCCTCTTTTCCTTGAAACTTTCCACTTTTGGCTTGGTTGATTCCTCTTTTGGTTCTTTTATCTGTCTGCCTTTTCTCATATCCTTCACCAGTTATTAGCACACACCTTTAGCTGTTAAAATCACTGTGACTTCAGAGGAACATCACTGAATCCTCTATTTATCCTCCAGAAACTTCACTGAGAGCTCATGTTCTGTATCTGGATTGAACCCTAACTCCCATTTGTTAGCTAGATGCTCTGTAAACCTCACTTTCCTAATCTACAAAATGGGGGAAGTGATACCTACCTCACAGAGTTTAGAGAATTAAGTGGCACAGTATTTCATCAAAATGCCTAATTCAGGAAACCTGGTTCGTTCAGCTCAGCCAGAAGAGCCTTTCAGCCAGTGCGAAGGCCAAGATGGACGCTTGCCTGACAAGATGGGCATGGAGACCTGTGTGTCTGGAGTAGAGGGAACAAAGGCAAATAGGTTTCAGGGGATCAAATTGTGTGAGACTTTGACTCTGGCTAGCTGTTGAATTTGTTGATTAACTTTTTTTTTTTTTTTTTGGGAGAGGGAGTCTTGCTCCATTGCCAGGCTGGAGTGCAGTGGCAGGTTGTCGGCTCACTGTAACCTCTGCCTCCCTCCTTCAAGTGATTCTCCTGTCTCAGCCTTCCAAGTAGCTGGAATTACAGGCACGCACCACGTCCAGCTAATTTTTGTCTCCCAAAACGCTGGAATTATAGGTGTGAGCCACTATGTCCCACCCTACAGGCATGTTTTAATAATTAAATTAGTAGCTTTGAGTGTTTTATGGCACACCCTGGGATAATTGCAGATAATCTGGAATATCTCAAAACCAGATTTATATTGCTTCAGGAAAATGCTGCATTTTCTTTTTTTTTTTTTTTTTTTGACGGAGTTTCCCTCTTGTTACCCAGGCTGGAGTGTGATGGCGTGATCTCGGCTCACCACAACCTCCGCCTCCTAGGTTCAGGCAATTCTCCTGCCTCAACCTCCTGAGTAGCTGGGATAACAGGCACGCGCCACCATGCCCAGCTAATATTTTGTATTTTTAGTGGAGACGGGGTTTCACTATGTTGACCAGGATGGTCTCGATTTCTTGACCTCGTGATCCACCCGCCTCGGCCTCCCAAAGTGCTGGGATTACAGGCTTGAGTCACCACGCCCGGCTGGAATATATTCTTGATAGCAAGTTCCCAATTTGATTAGGAGTCAGTGAGAACTGAATTCTCAAGTTATGCAACCTACTAGTTTCTGTCTACATCCCTGTGACAAAATGATTTTTTTTTTTTTTTTTTTTTTACTGACCGAAGATTTTACAGAGATGTAGAGGTGAGAAAAATCTCCTGGCTTTTCATCCCTTGAAATGTGAAAAGTTTTTTTGGAGGAGTCGTCTCGTTTTGTCCCAGGCTGGAGTGCAGGCACAATTTCGGCTTACTGCAACCTCTGCCTCCTGGGTTCAAGCGATTATCCTGCCTCAGTCTCCCTAGCAGCTGCGATTTCTACATGTCCGGCTAATGTTTTCTATTTTTAGTAGAGAACGGGATTTTGCCTGCCTGACCAACATGAGAAACCCCGTCTCAACTAAAAATAAAAAAATTAGCCTGGCGTGGTGGCTGGTCTCAAACTTCTGACCACAAGTGATCGGTCCCCCTCGGCCTCCCAAACTGCTATGATTACAGGCCTGAGCCGCTGCTCCTAGCCCAAAATCGTATCTTAACTTTTGGTCCTGCACTTTCACGTGACTCTAAGGCGTGATGGGAATGTTCCCGGAAGCAGTATCTTCTGCAAATTTTGTGAAAACGACCAGGTTAAACTTTGTTAGGACCCTCTCCCAGGGATTAAGTGTCATGTTGGGCATAAAGCACTGATCCTGGCATGTAGTCAGCACTCAGGAGTTATCACGAGGGTATTCTAAAAGGAAACATGATAGAGACAAGTGGTCAGGAAAGAATGGAAGCTGGAGTCCCTGAGGAGCATCCTGAAGCAAAATCTCAGTATGTATGACAGATTAAAGTTGAATGAGGCTTCTTTAGTTCTATGTAATTTTGTTACTCACTTTGCAACATGGAAAGAAAATTTTTTCCTTCAGTATTTTATGAAGTACAGCTACATAAATTGGCTTTCGTAATCCTCACAGCAAATGGGGATTGTTGGTACTAACATTGTCATTTCACAAAAGAGGAAACCCAAGAGGTTAAATGACTTCTATAGTTGCCAGCTAGGGAGTTGGCTCCCACTCGCGTCTGTTATCATGGGCTCCTGATGCTTAACATCTCTTCCCACCACACTTAAAGGCTTTTCGGGAGGGAGAACCTTCCAAGTCCACAATTGAGTTTTTTCGTCTTGGCCAAAATTACTTGCAGAATAGAAAAGAGCTCACTCAGGCCGGGCACGGTGGCTCAAGCCTGTAATCCCAGCACTGTGGGAGGCTGAGGCGGGTGGATCACGAGGTCAAGAGATCGAGACCATCCTGGTCAACATGGTGAAAGCCCGTCTCTACTAAAACTACAAAAAATTAGCTGGGCATAGTGGNGAGGCTGAGGTACGAGAATTGCTTGAACCTCAGGAGGCAGAGGCTGCAGTGAGCTAAGATCGAACCACTGCACTCCAGCCTGGGCGACACAGTGAGGAATCGCAAAAAAAAAAATAATAATAAAAGAAAGAAATTATGAAAGATTTTATCTTTATATTCCCACCTCCACCTGTCATTGCTCTGTGACCCAGGACCCAGGCCACCTATCGTTACAAATGTATAAGACTAGTTTAGAGCACTTTTCACCAGTTGGTATGAGAAAAGAAAATTAGGCCCAATTCTTTGACTCTAGCTCATGCACTTACCATCACACTGGACTTATCGCCATGTAGACACAGTACCTGCCCTTTAGAAAACCCCAGCCTGGGAAACATAATGAGACCCACATCTCTCCCCACCACAAAAAAGAAAAACCTAGTTAGACATGATGGCACAGGCCCATAGTCCCAATTATTTAGGAAGTTGAGGTGGGAGGACAGGAATTTGAGGCTGCAGTGAGCTATGATTGTGCCACTGCATTTCAGCCTGGGCAACAGAACAAGACCCTATCTAAAAAAACTATACCAATCTGATCTGTAATCTGGCAGCTTTTTCAGCTTCTGCCTGTTCTCTTTCCCTCTAAAAGCTAAGCTTATTTAAAGAATATTCTGCATGTACTGCCTCTCCTCATCCTACTTTGACCACTGGAACTGCTCTTCCAAAGGTCAACTTTGACTTCCTAACAGCTTAATCTAGTGTTGTGAATGTTGTAAGGTCAGGGATAACCAGGTACATACGTGTTTGTGTCTTTTCACAATGTCAGACTTTTATTGTGTTATTTCAGTTATAAAAGTCACAAGTTACATGGAGTTCTCAAGGAGGAAATTTTTTTTTGTACTTCTCATTCACTAGGTAGTCAATATTGTAAATCAACAATATTGTCAATATTGTTGTAGAATGTTTAATCTATAATTATATATTAAGTATACTATTATATATACTTAATATATTAAGTATATATATAATATATATAAGTATAAATATAATAAGCATACTATTATGTATACTTAATATATAAATATTATAGATTAAACATTCTGCAACAAAGCAACATTGAACATCAAGAGAAAAGAGCTAGGAAAAAGGATTAATGAACCAGTCCAGGGAGAGTCGTATAGACAAGTAGTCAAAAGGAGTATCCTGGTCCAGTCTTGTTATGGCAGTGTGTTGGTCTTGTAAGAAAGAATCTTTGATGTGGGCAGAGCCTTCGGAGAGAGATATCAGATGTTCATTACAAGTGACAGCAAGACAGTGTCTGTTAAGAGACCATTTTGAGCTTTTTAAGTCCTGTTCTTTTTATGGTCACAGAGTCTTCTGGTGAGGACTGATAGTGGAAGAGCATGTTTCACTGTGTCTTTATCTGGAAAAGCATCTGGTCCCTGTTGTCAAAGCACTTTTTGAAATGTCAGATGGAATCCTTTTCTAAGATGGAGTTATTTATGTCAAGAGTGCTCTATACGTCTACCGACTGTTTTTGCATTCATATTTGATTCCACTTTTTTGTAAGTATTCTATACTGTGGATTCTTCTACCTTTCTGAAGCTCCTTCTGAACGAGCAGTTGGTCTTTATTTTTTTACTAAATAGCAATTGCTCTTTTGGAAGGAACTTGAGAAACCACTACTCGCTTTAGGGCCCTAAAATTAACATTGACTCCTAGTCCTAACAGATGCTATAGCTATAAAGGACATGTAGAAACCAAGAATTGTTGAGT